GAAAAAGTTTTGCATATTTCACATGTATAATTGCTATCACATTGTTTACTTTCTTAGTGGGGAGGGGAGAGTTGGGGGAGGATGAAAATTTCAAACTCAAAATTTAAAAAGAAAAAAATGCTAAAAATTGACAATAAATTATTTTTAAAATAATAATAAATTTTTAAAAAATGAAAAAAGGCCAAAAATGTGTGCAATCTATCATATCTGTGGACCCCCCACCTCTAAAAGGGAGTAGGGTGGGAGCGTCTCCTCACATCTCATCATGCTAGGAGGCTATCTTTCTTGGCAGCCCCCTTTCCTACTGTCCATAGACTTCTGACTGAATTTTTGTTAAGTTCTGAGCTGAAAGAAGTCATTTACTTTAGATTCTCTTTGGATTCCTTGAATGTTATTCAGTCTGGTGTGAATTTCAAGTTGGTTTTTTTTTTCCCCTATGGTAAGTATATGGGAGCTGGGAGGTCTGACTCCATTTAGGTTGCCAAAAGTCCCACTGTAGGTTATTATCAATGTATATCTATGCTAACTGACTAATACAAATATCTTGCCGTTTCTTCCCCAGGCCTCATCCTCCTTTTTCAGTTGGAAAATTTATAATTTGACATCCCAAACCCCAAATTATTTGTCATTTTCCCCAGTAAGAATACTATACTATGTCAAAACAAAGCTCATATAGTTCTCAAAACCTGCCAGCTATATACAGCTTCTTTTATCAAACCACAACAGAAATGTAATCATGCACAATTTTGAAAAGAATATGGCAACATCGCCAAATTTTGTTGTTGTTGTTCAGTTATTTCAGTTGTGTCTAACTCTTCATGACCCCTTTTGAGGTTTTCTTGGCAAAGATACTAGATTGGTTTGCCATTTCCTTCCCCAGCTCATTTTACAGATGAGGAAACTAAGGCAAACAGGGTTAAGGCAAACCGGGTTAAGTGACTTGCCTTTAGTGGGCAGTTAGTAAGTGTCTGAGGGCAGACCTGAACTCAGGTCTTCCTGACTCCAGACTCAGCACTCTATACACTACCACCTACCTGCTCCCAATGTCTCCAGATAGTCATCTAATAAAATCTAGTACTAGGTCAGAATGGCAATTTTACTTGCAGTGATACAAAAGACCTTTCTGTTTATTTTCATTCATGTGGCAATTAAAAAACAGTGGAAAAATTTGAGAATCTTAAATAATAATTCCCCTACTATGATGTCCAAAATAGTACATGTGACCCTAGGATGTGATCCCACTAAAGAGCAAATGTGACAATTTCTGATAATATTGCTTCTCTTCCTATGTACTTTTCTTCTCTCTTTTCTCTCAAGACTTCTGTCTTCCTATTCTTCCACTTTATTTCCATTTTCATATCTTTTTCTCAGGTCAGTTGGGTGTTACTTGATATTCATCTCTACCCTCACTCCCCTCCCTTTAGAGCACAGCACCAAGAAAACAAGTAATTATATTTATCTGCCATGCCCTCCACACCCTGCTCCCAAGCAGACTGCAAGCTCCTCGAGTACTGAAACTTCTTGAAAACATAGTAGACTAGCACAGTGCTTGAAAACATAGTAGACATTCAAAAAAGGTTTACTGGAATTGATATGATTAGCACCTAGAGTGGTATCAATAGCTGAAGAGGTTGCTGACATGGGATGTAGGGGCACAGCTGGCCTAGGTATATAATGACTGCTTTGTATTCTGTTAGATTGGCATCCCTCCATTTCTACTTCTCTTGGTGAAAAAGGTACCCACTAGGGATATATTTAGGGCATTAAAGTTCACTAACCACAGTGAATAATTCATCTGGAGTCTATATAGCTATATGACCCTTTAGAGCAAGAGCGAAAACACAAGGTCAAGCTTCCAACCTAGTATCAGCCTTTAAACATATTTCCAAGTCTAAAACAAATACTCAAACCTGTACAAAAGACTTTTTTCTATAAATATCCATACTCTAACATTGGCCTATTTAAGAGCCAGTTCAGGTACATTTTTCAAAATCCTAAAATCAAAAAAGCTATCAAGTAAAACAAAGTATACCATTAAGTTATTTATGTTTGATGCTTTTATTTTTATCCTTGAATTTGGAATCTTAATACTATTTAACTGCTAAATATCATTACCTATTGGCTAACTACCCTAGCTCTTAATGTTTGGGTGATAGCTTTTACCCAGCATAGACTTCAGGAGATGAAGAAATGACTTTCCTTCATCTAAACAAACACTTAATTTGGGGAAATAAAGCATATTTAGCCAGCTCAATAATCAATCTTTATACTTCATATGCTCCCAAAACAACTCCCCCCAAAAAGCAAACTAATTTTACAGTAAATAGGCAAACCGTTTACTTTATAATTGATTGGATTCAAATGACGTTCTAGAAAAGGTGGTTTGAGTTTTTCCCATGTGCTAAAGAATCTTTGCAGAGTAACTCTGTCTTATTTCAAAAGCACTACCAAGTCTTAAAAGTTGCAATTGCTGTTTTCATCTTATGTCAAAAATTCTTAGTAACAATTAAATTTTTGTCTTACTCTTCATGCACACAAATCTTGATGTTTTTAAAGTTCTCAGATTTGGCATTCAATAACACAAAGGATACCCAAGAGGTATCAGAAAGTTTTTACAGCTAAATTCTCATGTATTTCAGGATAAAACTCAGGTGACAAAAATCAGTGGTCTGAATTTGATATGATTAAGAGAACTCATAATTTTCCTTTTTTTATTAATTTATTTTGATTTATCAACAATCACTTCCATAAGCTTTTGAGTTTTAAATTTTTCTCCCCCTCCTTTCCCACCTCCCTCCCCAAGATGGCGTGCAATCTGATATATGTCATACATATACATTCCTATTAAACATATTTTCACATTAGTGATGTTGTGAGGAAAAATTAGAACCAAGAGGAGGAACCACAAGAAAGAGAAAACAAAACAAAACAGAAGAAGAAAAAAAGAGCAAATAGTATGCTTCAATCTGCATTCAGATTCCACAGTTCTTTTTCTGGATGTGGACAGCATTTTCCATCATGAGTCTTTTGGAGTTGTCTTAAATCTTTACATTACTATGAAGAGATAACTCTATCAAAGTTAGTCATCACACAATGTGACTGTTACTATGTACAACGTTCTCCTGGTTCTGCTCACTTCACTCAGCATCTGTGAAATCCATTCTGAAATCCACCTGCTCATCATTTCATGTAGCATAATAGTATTTCATTACCTTCATATACTACAACTTGTTCAGCCATTCCCCATCTGATGGGCATCCCCTCAATTTCCAATTCTTTGCCATCACAAAAAGAGCTACTATAAATATTTTTGTACGTGTGTCCTTTTCCCATTTGTATCTCTTTGGGATACAGCCCTAGAAGTGCTATTGCTGGGTCAAAGGGCATGCACAGTTTTATAGCCCTTTGGGCATAGTTCCAAATTGCTCTCCAGAATGGTTGGATCATTTCATAACTCCACCAACAATGCATTAGTGTTACAATTTCCCCACATCTTCTCCAAACATTCATCATTTACCTGTTTTGTCATATTGGTCAGTCTGATAGGTGTGATTTGGTACCTCAGAGTTGTTTTGATTTGCATTTGTCTAATCAATAGTGATTTAGAGCATTTTTTCATATGTCTATAGATGGCTTTAATTTCTTCATCTGAAAACTGCCTACTCATATCCTTTGATCATTTATCAATTGGGGAATGACTTGTATTCTTATAAATTTAACTTAATCCTCTACATATTTTAGAAATGAGGCCCTTTATCAGAGATACTAGATGTAAAAATTCTTTCCCAATTTTTCTACTTTCCTGCAAACTAATAATTTTCTAAATAATATATCTTATCTTCCTTTAAATCTTTCTTTCTGAGCAATATTGTCCCTTTAGCTGTGAGACTGTAGAATAAACAAACCTGTGACCAGAAACTCATGCTATTAGATTTTATTTGTTTGGGTTAAGGTTAGTTGTTCTAGGGACAAATTAAAGAGTAAAAACTGATTCTTTCAATTGGCTAAATCTATCTTATTCTTTATAGCAAAAGCACATGGCAGAACTAAGAGTTTGCAAATATTAAATTGAGAATATCAAGTTGTCATGAATTCTAGGTCAAGCGCTCAAAAAAATCAGTTTTACCCAGCATTAAGCGAAGCACAACACACAGGGGCTATTGTATCGCTGGAGACTCCAAATGAAAGGCATAATGCAAACCAAATCAGCTTGTTATTGTTTTGTCTTTTTGTTTTTTTGTTGGGCAATGAGGTTAAGTGACTTGCCCAGGGTCACACAGCTAATGAGTGTCAAGTGTCTGAGGCCAGATTTGCACTCTGGTCCTCCTGACTCCAGGGCCGGTGCTCTATCCACTGCACCACCTAGCTGCCCCTACCTTGTGATTATTTTTAAGAAAATTGCCTCAATATGGAAACTAAAAAAGGGGCAGAAAACCAGACACGGCTCCAAAACAACAATCACTGCATTACAAAGTTTAGCATTTTAGGTAACCAAATTTTAAACCTTCTTCAACTCAATACCAACGTCCATTTCTATAAGGCCAACTTATGATGGTGGGAAAAAGAGAAAACGAAATTAGACACCTCTATTTTGAGGAAGAAAAAAAGATTTTACTGGGCAAGCTACATTCGATTCTACTAGAATAGACTGAATTCTAACTGTGAAAGGTAATGGAAAGATTTCTGGATAAAATAAGAGACAAGTTCTGGTAGATACAAGAAAATCACTTTGGAGAAAGTACACTTCGCACCATCTGAACTAAATTTCTCAACCTCAAAACACTGCTCACACTCAAGATATAAGCAAAACATTTAATAATATATCTATATTTAAAATTTACTTCATTAGTAAATTAGTGAATCACTGTTTAGTGATTCAAAGTTCAAGTGCTACAGATGAGCGAATCAATTAATACTGTTCTCCCTCATACTACGGCTCTCTGAAAAGGTATGTAGTATCCTTGAAGACTATCCTTTCCCCATACATTCAGACTACTTACCTGATAAAATCTTCTTTACATTGCTGCAGTAGTTCACATGCCCACTGGATCTCTTGATCACTGAGAAGCACTAGAGTTCCAATAGTTAGATGAAGTTTTGCTGGATTTTGGAAAAGGCAGCTGCTGACCCCACGATCCTGTTGCCAAAGGAAAGAAAGGAAGAAGTTTTATCAATATGGAAATTGAATGATATTGTGAGAAAATGAGTTGTACTCAAGAAATTTACCAAAGGATGCCTAAGCTAAAAGAAAAATATACCATACCAATTTTCCACCCCCTTTCTTTTATTAACTATGAATAATAAGACTACTAGTCTCAGAAGAATCACTAAAAGAGCAATGTACAATGGATGTAACCAGGCTGTAACACAGGACAAATTAGAAACTATGAAGAACTGGAATGAAGGATGTTATCAAAGAAATACAAGATTGAAAAAAGAAAATGGACCAGTCATGTGGCAAGAACAACAGATAAGCAATGGACAGCTCATGTATTTCATTGGTATACCCATGAGTCAGGAGAAAAGTGAAGAAAGTCACCAACACATTAGGTGGACTCCCTGTGTTGAACCTATGGGAATAGACAGGATGGAATCCTCAAATTCTTTGAAGCAGCTAACAAAGACTTAACATGGAAGGTGAAAGTCAATGTAAGAATCCAGAGGATGCAGGGTGAGACCAAGCATCACATTCAAAAGTGAAGCAGGAGGGCACAAAGCCCAATTTAGAAACTAAAGCTGAAGACAGGAGTAAATCAGAGAAATCACCAACAAATATCAAAAATTACTGCAAATCAATTTGGAGTTATGCCCAAAGGGCTATAAAACTGCACGTACCCTTTGATCTAGCAATACCATTACTAAGTCTCTATCCCAAAGAGATCATAAAAAAGGAAAAAGGACTTACATGTACAAAAATATTTATAGCAGCTCTTTATGTGGTGGCAAAGACTTAGAAATTGAGGGAATGCCCATGAACTGGGGAATGGCTGAACAAGTTGTGGTATATGACCGTAATGGAATACTATTGTGCTTTAAAAAAATGATGAGCGGGCAGATTTCAGAAAAATCTGGAAAGACCTACATGAACTGATACTGAACAAAGTGAGCAGAACCAGGAGAACATCATACACAGTAACAGCAACATTATGCGATGATCAACTAGACTTAGCTCTTCTCAACAATACAGTGATCCGGGGTAGCAAGGTGGCGCAGTGGATAGAGCACCGGCCCTGGAGTCACGAAGACCTGAGTTCAAATTTGACCTCAGACACTTGACACTTACTAGATGTGTGAACTTGGGCAAGACACTGAACCCTATTGCCTAACCCCCCCCCCAAAAAATACAATGATCTAAGACAACTCCAAAAGACTCATGATGGAAAATGTTATCTACATCCAGAGAAAGAACTATCAAATCTGAATATAGATCAAAGCTTACTATTTTCATTTTTTTCATTTGTTTTTTGTATTTTCTTTCTCATGGTTTGTCCATTTTGTTCTGATTCTTCTTTCACAACATGACTAATGTAGAAATACGTTTAACGTGATTGCACATGTATAAGCTATATCAGATTGCTTGCTGTCTTAGGGAAGGAGAAACGGAGGGAAATAAATTTGGAATTCAAAATCTTATAAAAATAAATGTTGATAAACATCTTTACATGTAATTGGAAAAAATAAAATATTATTAACATAAAACATTACTGCAAATCTAACTCTAAAACAATTAGAGGCTCAAGCAGAAGCTCAAGGTAAAGAATAAATTTTCCACAAGGCCTACATCAACACTTAAAGGAAATTAATCATAAGATAAATTAACAGTAATAATAATAATAATAGCAGCTTTGAGCCCTATCCAAGTAACAGACCCCCTGAAAACCTGAACAGTCAAAAAAAAATAGTAACCCCATGAGATAGCAAGAAATATCAGAATAAAAACTAGATTGAAAAAAAGAACTCTTTCCCTGTTGCTGCTGAGTCGAGCAGGAGGAGGAGGCTCCTGGGTGTTTTCAAAATTTAGCTTCACCCATGACGCTGCCATGGCTGAGGAAGGCATTGCTGCTGGAGGTGTAATGGACGTTAACACCGTTCTACAAGAAGTGCTGAAGACCGCACTCATCCACGATGGTCGAGTTCGTGGAATTCTTGAAGCTGCCAATGCCTTGGACAAATGCCAAGCCCATCTTTGTGTTCCTGATTCCAACTGTGATGAACCTATGCATGTTAAGTTGGTTGGGGGCCTGTGTGCTGAGCACCAAATCAACCTGATCAAGGCTGATGACAACAAGAAGCTGGGCCAATGGGCAGGCCTCTGTCAAACTGACAGAGAGGGAAAAGCCCTGTAAAGTGGTTGGCTGCAGCTGCATTGTTGTTAAGGACTATGGCAAGGAATTTCAGGCCAAAGATGTCATTGAAGAATATTTTAAATGCAAGAAATGAATAAAATAAAAGCCTCGGTCTGAAGAAAAAAAAAGAAAAAAAAAGAAAAAAGAAAAAAAGAGAAGAAAATGTAAGATACCGGATATAAAAAATGACTAACCAAGAAAACAGGTCAATGAGAGATCATTTAAGAACCACTGAACTCCCTGAAAATTATATATCTTTTTTAAGTCTGGCATCATATTTTAAGAAATCATAAATAAAAACTTCCCAGATCTATTAGAAACAGAGCAAAAACAGAAAGAATCTACCAACCATCTACTGAAAGAAACCCAAAAAGGAAAAAGACTAGCAAATTCACAGAAAAAGTTCAGAGTTTCCCAAGGAAAAAAATGTCATAAAGTATCCAGAAAGAAACAGTTTAAGTATCAAGGAACCAATCAAGATCACTCAAGACCTAGCCACTTCTACTAAAAACGAGTGGAGATCATTGAATACAATATTCCAAAAGGCAAAAGATACACTTACAGTCAAAAATAACTTACCTTGCAAAATTAAGTATAAATCCTACAGGAATAATATCTAATGAAATACAGAACTTTCAAGCATTTCTGATGAAAATACCAGAACAATGGGGGAAATCAGGTATCAACTGAACCCCATTCTTAGCTAAAATGGACCAAAGAGGGCAGAACGTACACACACATACACACAGACTTTGGTGTCAAAATACATCAAATTCAACAGGGAAAAGGGAGGGGGGAAGGTTCTGGTTTAAAAGGGAGGATAATACCAGGGAGAGGAAACAGTAACAAGTAAAAAGAAATTACTGATCCTAAAAGACAGATTAAAAGAAGGTGGAGGAAAAGAAAAATAAATAACCAGAATCTAAGGGGTTACCCATCAAATGGAGAATGACTGAACAAACTGTAACATATGAATGTAATGGAATATTATTATGCCACAAGCGATTACAAAAGAAATGATTTCACAAAATCCTAGGTACTATGAACTGAAATACAATAGAGTGAACAGAACAGAACTAGGAAAACAATTTATACAAGGACAACACATTGTAAAGAAAAACAACTTTGAAAGATTTAATTCTTATTAATGCAATGATCAACAAAGTTTCTCAAAGACCTGTGATGAAGGCTATTACTCATCTGACAGAAAGGAGATGGATACAATGTACAGAGATACACATTTCTGGACATGCTTACTTGTTAAGCTGCTCCTCTAATTTGTTTACAATGTGACCTTTTACATCTAAGTCATGTATCCATTAGGAGTTTATCTTGTTATATAGTCTGAGTTGTTGTAAATCTGATTTACACCAGACTGCTTTCGTTTCCTTTGAAATTTTTGTAGAATTAAAGATCTTGGTGTTTACTGAACATTAAGTTACTTTGCTTCTCTATGTTATATGTCTAATCTATGTCAACTTCTGGTTATATTACACACAATAAATAAAACAAATGTTACAATTTTGGGGAAAAAAAATACTGTGGCCCTTTGCCAGTGGCCATGGATTTGGAATCCGAGAATGTGGGTTTGAATCCTGAATTGACCACTTCCTCCCTGTGTGATCTTGGCCAAATCACTTAACCTCTTTGTGTGTTAGTGTGCTCATCTACAAAATGAAGGGACTGAACTAGAGGCTTTCTGAGGTTTAAGTCTATGAGCCTGACGTAAATTCTGGTGCCTTTCCTTGGTTACACTGGACATCCGTGCTGCTAAGAGAAGTAGACAGCTGAAGTGTTATTTCTAATATGGATGAAGCAAACCAAGATTAACAGGCGGTAAACAGTAGAGAATACTAAACTGAAGTCAATAAGACCCGAGTCAAATCCTGCCTCAGATTCTTACTGGTTGGGCCAGTCATTTAACCTCTGGGTTCCTTGTAAATTTCTTGCTTTGTAAAATGGGAATAACCTATCAGAGATTTTCATAACATAACTAAGACAAATGAAAAAGTATATAAAATGCTTTGCAAACTTTAAAATGCTACATAAGTATAAGTTATTTTGTAACCTTGTATATATCACTCAATTTTATAGCTTACCTTTGGCCTTGGTACACTACACACTACATAGCCTATTTCACCACATTTAGAAATACCTGTATTACGCAAACAGAATTATCAGATTTTGTTTTTCCTGAGTATGAATGCGAACTCAGTGATTTTTAACTTCTCTGAGTCAGTTTCTTCATCTATAAAATGAGAATACTAATACTGGAATTATCTATCTCACAGGGTTTTAGAAAGGAAGAGCTTTATGACCCTTAAAGGGCTATATATACATACATATGTATTATGTAGTAGGTCTGTTTTAAATGTCCACTATCTTATCCAAGGACTGTTACCTAAGCCTTAAGATCTTGAAAGCTCCTATGACTTTCCAAAATATTGTGGTGACAATACTAGAAGAATCCTACACAAGTCCACAGAGACTGGTCTTAACCTTCCTGAAAAAAGCATATATAATATATAGCTCAGACCACAAAGAGTTAAAGCTAAGAGGAAGGTTCAATTTTCATGTTTGTTTCCTTCTATTTTTTAAGTTACCCATCCACCCTGAAGAATCTTATAGTTACGATTCAACCTGCTAAAAGGTATCTTCCTGAGTTTATTTAAGGATAATCCTATCTTATCTGATTTACTATGAAATACCTCTATGAAACAGATGCAAAAGTAACACTGGTGGGGAATGCATCAGAAGCTAAGCAGAAAGAGTAAAGGCTTCATGCAGAAGG